TGGGTTGTTCTTTGTCCTTTATGTTCGTTAGTACTTGTCGTAACGTTGTGATTAGCTTATGTGCAACACGTATGTTGTATGGTCGTAAGATACGCGAGATAGTCTCAGACGTACCTTTGATGTAAGGTATCGTTGCTGTTGTCACTGAGTTGTTCGTTTCGCTGGATTCGTTGGGTTTGTAAGTGTTGCGTTTGATAAAGTCAGAGTTATAGTTGGTTTTGTCAAAAACACGTTTGAGATAGTTGTTTTCGTTGTGTAGAGCGTCCGGTGAATCACATATGATTTGTGCACGTCTTGTTAATGTGCTGATTGTGTTGGCTTTGTATAATAAAGAGTTGTAAGATGATTGGTCAAGTAGTCGGTCAGTATGGGTTGGCTTGCGATAAACTGTTGTTCGTAGTTTTTAATTGTCAAGTTTTACCAAACAGTCGAGAAAAGGAAGAGTTTCGTTTTGTGGTTGTTCTGTTTTTGGCTGTTCTGTTTGTTGATGTGAGTGTGAAACTCATCCATCTCGTCTGCATGTAGTGCTGCGATTGTGTAATCTACGTAGCGGAACCAAAAAGGTAGTGCATGTTTATAAGTCGTGAGCGCCCTTTCCTCTATAGATTTCAGCAACTACAACAGAAACGGGTGAGCCCATTGCTGTTCCATGTAATTGTTTGTAGTGTGTACCTTTGTACTAGAAGTAAGTCGAGGTGAGGCAGAGCTCCAGTAGCTCCATATTGTCTTCTGTCGGTAGTGGCAGTACGTCCGTAGTGCTTGTAATGAGGGTTTTTGTACAAGTAAGTGCCAGATTAAGTGGAATACTGGTGAACAGTGATTTCACATCAAAATACACTAGTATATAGTTGTCCGGTATTTGTATAGTGCTCAGTTTTTTAATGAATGTTTAGTGGATTGCAGTCTGTGTTTTGATTTGTTTGTAAGTGGTTGTGGTTTATGAAGTTTTGGTAGTCCGTATAATCTGGGGGTCGTGGTACTGAACATCTAAGTCGATAGTAAATACTGTCATATATATTGTTAGATTTTCTCATCGAGAAGATCTTGCTGTTAAATTTGCGTACTAGTTAAGGTGTTGGGTCTTGTTTGAGTTGTTCGCAGGTTTGTCTGTCGTTAACAAGGGTGTCCATTTTGTTGAAGTAATCATTCCTGACAATGACCACAGTCACGCATCCTTTGTCTGCTGGTAAAATGACGATGTTTTTGTCGTGTTTTAGTCGTTTGAGAGCTTGTTCTTCGTCCTTTGTCAAGTTGTTGTCACGTATAGAGGATATAGTATGTGTATAGTTTTCCCTATATTAGGGTAACTGGCAGGAACTTAAACATAAGACTTACTGAACACAAACGAGCTACTAACAAACGAGGCAAAACTAATCACATTGCCGAACATCACCGAATCACAAAGCACAACATTGACTGGAACTCGGCAAAATGCATTACTTACAGTACTGACTATAGACAACGGCTTACATTAGAAAGTTTGTAAACCAACTTGAAACAACCCCCCCTGAACATATCACAGCAATTACCGGCACCTTATTCACAATACAAACAAACAATCAACTAAAAACATTACACTTCACATTAATGGACAATGACAAGACACAATTGACACCCACACTTACAACTAAAAACATCACACCTAAATCACATATCACAACTAAAAATATTTCACTTCACACTAATTCACAATGACAATACATATTTCCTGTACACACAATACAATGACGTAAGAACCAGATAACAAATACGGCTAACCTGACGTTTACTCCTCATTTAACTCTGAAGATGACTACCGCTAAGGTTGTCAGAACGTCGGTCAACAACAACAAAAACAGTCCTTCTCAGGACTATACCAACCTGGACGATCTACATTTACAAACATGTAACGATACTCCCGGGTTCAAACCATTTACTTTAATACGCCACATTGACATAAATCGCATCACATACTCGCATAAATTGACTTTCATATATTACATTCATGCATACACTTCACTTGTCCTTTACTTAAGATTTCGGGTGTAAATTTCTGGTGATAAAACTCAAAACAATGTTGGCTTGCTTTGAACATCAATGACTGAAATGTCCCTCACGAGATCATCTTTGCCAAGAATTTACAATTCATCCATAACTTTTTCACCCTCTTGAAAAATTCACAGTTTTGACAGCAGCATTCATGTCAATATATGAATTTGTAAAAGATTCCCATTAATTCCATATGATTGTAGTTTAGTTTCTATGATGCTCTGGAAAATTACTATGAAACCATCAAACAGTCACTTCAGACAGTGTGCTTGACTACGTTAGTTCAGTTGGCTGTCAGTCGAAATCGGTCAAATCGGTCAATCACAGTAAGACAAAAATTTAAACGAACCAATTACACGATAGCAATTGGAAACTCTTATCAGTCCGGCCACCCCGCTTATTGGTCAAGATTATTCCAATCGTCCACTGATCAGGCTATTGACGAAAGGAATGACTTAAATAAGCATTCTTGAACTCCGTTATTGGTCGAACCAGTCGAGCCAGTTAATATAATTCTAGATGTGTTTTTATCTACTGATCTGTTTACTAAGGTGGCATTTGTATAAGTTCTCATACATAAAACAGAATTTTGACGATGAAATCCAAACGATTACAGAACGAAAATTAATGATCAAAAAAAATTGTTATCATTAAATTTGATGAATAATTTTTGAACTATAAACATATGTCGCGTGACTCATTTGACATACCCTAGATCCGCCCCTTGCGTCCACACGTAGCTTATTTGAATCGTTTTCGCCTATCCACACGTATACGCAAAAAGGCATGGAAATTCAATACTTGAGCATGCGTATTTACTTGTAATAAGAAATTCTTCAAGATCATCAATCTCATGATGTGAAGCATTAAAGATTCAGTGATGAAACTCAATGATCAATCTCATGAAAAGAAATAAGAAGCAAAAAATTGTAGAAAAACTCTGAAAAGTGAAAAAACTTTTCTTTAAAAAAAGCGGCAATAATGCATATGATAATCTTCATTCTGCACTCTAATAGGTAAATAGGCTGAAACAGTTTCTAAGACCAAAAACTGAAATAATGAAGAAATATACAATACAGTAACTTCAAAGGTTTCATCACTGAATCTTTAATGCTTCAGTATAGTGCATTAGATATTAGTAACATTCAAACAACACTCTACTAAAATATAATGATAAAGATATGATATGATTTAACCATGAAGTTATGTTATAACACTCAATGGATTTTACAGTTTGAAGTTATTCATCTACAATGAGTAATCGTCAATCTGCAATACCCAATATTCACGTAAACACAAACTTTATGACCATCACATTTTCCATGTTTTTTTGAATTGACTTTTCATCAAGTGTCAGGACACACACAACCTTTTTGCCATCTTTCTTTGGTTCTTGAACTTTGATTTTAAAGCATTCAAGGCATCCTTGCCTTGGTGAATGCATTGTCTCCATCCATAGAATTTGACCATGTTCAAATTAAATAATTCTGGGTAGGTAAGACAATAAATCATTTGTCTTTTCAGTCTTACCGTTTTTTCTTAACTCTACTTGATCAATAACATCTTCCAGTCATCTTTGCAACCTGATATTTCTTGCATGGTGTTAGAAAATAGAAGAACATAACAAGTTCCGCTCCAATTCATGTGTACTGTTTATGCTGATCGTTTCTTTTCACTATCTACCCACTGAGTAAATGAGCAGGGTCTTTTTGGCGTCAGGGAAACTCTTTTGCAAATAGATTGGTAAATTTACGATTTCATACATTAACAAATAACAGAAAAGTTTGCTGCGTTTTATAAAAAATACGACCTTACGAATTTTATGGTTTTTTATGCGTATAATTGCTTTTCAATCTTCGATGAACAACAAAACAAGAAAATATCTTACCTGTGAAAGCGAGATGTTCTTTTGTGGAAACTACGACTCCAACAAGTGAACAATTGAAGTATTGGCATTATAAGAGAAATGCCAAAAAATATCGTGTTTGTTTTTAAAAAATTATATATAAATACCTATAGACACCAGGGGAAGACGAGAATATATTTTTCTGCAAAGCAGTCATTTCAGCGGAAATCGGTCCATTGGCCGCCATTTCTTGACAGCATCGCCCTAGTCTACTTAGCCGCTCCAGTCATTATAGAACTCAATGGTGTAAACCATATATCCCTGGGTTTCTAGTCAAGGAGTTAATGATCGTGGAAAATTGATCCAATTCAAATTCACAATTGGTGATGTAAATTTGACTTCTATGAAGCTAATTAAACACCGACCTAACTTGTAAGGACTCGTGCTCTGATTTTACCATCGCAATCGAAAGTTGACAGCAAAAAGAATGCTCTGCCTAAAAAGATCACAATTAGAGATAATGAATCAGAATTTATGCAATAAAGACAACGAAACACTTGCATGATGTCCGTTTGTGAAATAATTTTTAGCACAATCTTACAAAAAATTCAAAAATATAAACTTTAAAACAATACGGCCCAAACATACACTTGTATGTTATTGCTAATGTTGGTGTTTTATAATTTACGGAAATTAGCACGAGCCCCATTGATCTGTTGGCCAAACGAATTTCTGTTCTCTTTAAAAATCTTCGCTAACAAGTTATAAGTGTAGTTAAAACTTAAAAGCTCAAAATATATTACCAACGCAAGCTTAGCATGTAACCACAAATATTAATCATATCTAGACAGTCGAGTTATCAGTAATTATTTGCATTGTAATTATTTATTTATTGCTCACTTTATTCTGGTCAATGTCCGATTGGAAAAAGGTCGTTGTGACGTAATAGTTGACATTAGCTAAACGCGGTCAATTGCACGCTTCGTTCAAAATATATTGGTAACTTCTTTGCCTGCATTAACAACACGACAATTTAGCATTGAAAATATGGTTTATTGTGCCGCATTTAATTATAAAAACGGTTCTTCTAAGAACCATCAAACGCAGCAAAAGGTTTCTTTTTTCGTTTCCCGAAAACAAGCGCAAGCGAGATATTTGGATTGAAAAAATCCGACGCAAAAATTTGAAGGCAACAAAGAGCTCAATATTGTGCTCGCAACATTTCGAGAGTTCGTGCTTCGTGCAAAATTTTGAAGCGATGCAATCAGTAGGACGGCTTCGCCTTAAGAAGGATGCTGTATCGACGATTTTTTAATACTCTGTGGAACCCACAAGTGTAGCATCTAAAAGGAAGCAGCTAACAAATGTTAGAATTGCATTTGAGAAGAGATGAAGGCAAGAGGTGATTATTATAGTTATAGTTAGCAATATTTGTTTACATTTATCAAAAACTAAGCTATATAGCATTACCAAATTGAGGACAATTTTATAATTTTAGATTATTGACGACGTTCTTGCTGAACATGACGACTTTTGTAGGCGACGACCAAGATGTGTCGACATCGGCACGAAATGTTTGTGCGTTTCACCTCAAAGGAAGTTTGTCTAAGATAAAGATGTCAAAATATATGTAGACAGCGAAACACAAACATATACAGTGGTAACTAATTCAGGCTAATGTCGTTTGATCTTTTCTTTGTTATTTTAACTATAGAAAATTCCTTAACGTACCTTAGAAGCGCAATGTGAAATACCAAGCAGCCATAACAATCCGTCCTCAAAAACACGTAAGGTCATGAACCACTCAAACAAAAGTGCCAAATATGATAAGTAGAGGTATAGACTTTCCATTTCGGCCGTTTTGATTTTTGTGAAAAATCCAGCAATACGATAATTTTATCTAAAGGTTGAGTTAATTTCAACAAAAAATCATAGCAAAAAATCACAGACGACGTCATGTGAAATTGAACATTTTCAAGGTAGCGCTGTATGGTCTGATACAGAAAGCACGTCGACGATGAGCAATAGCCACAATGGATCAGACTCTCACTCGTTTTCTTCACTCTCAGGCATAGGTCCAATGTCATGTGTGTACACGACCATAGCTGTTTTTACGACAGCTTCGTTTGTACACACTGTGGCAAACTCTTCCTCTTGTGTGATACAAATATTATCGCCATGTATCAGAGTATCAGTATTGTTTACTTCTTGGCAACATATACTTTCCCGTCCTGTACTCATGACCACACAAAAGCCCCACTCGCACCTAAAAGGTAAAAACATTGTTTTTACTTTGGGAAAAACATTGAAGCGTCAATAAAATGCAACTAACCATTCAACACTTCCAATTCTGTGAATGTATTTATCTTCGCTTTCCGATGACGGAGAATTGTCATTACTATGACCACCTTGCGCGTTGGCCAAACGCTCAAACATGTAAGGTTGTACCTCATTGTTGTTGATGACAATATCATAATCGGCATCTTCGTCAGAAGAATCCATTAATTTTTGATAAATAAAAAACAGTAATAGCAAACTACCGAAAGCCGTGCAAGCACTGCGTGCAAGTCGTAGAAAGATATAAGAACGATGCTTGTTTATGTCAACTAATACGTCACTCTTCCCAGTTCCCAGACTTAAACAATCTCACGGCGTTTTACCAATGGTCATCGAATATCGTGTTTTTACCGATTATAACCCTAAATATCTTTTGAAATAGTTTGCTGACGACTTTGAAACTTGGTACATCTTATTTTCACGCTAGAGGCATTACAATAAAATAAAGTTGTCTTCTAGCTTGCATGTGTCCTTTAAGGCTCTTTTCTACTCATCGCAAAACGTACTCGTAAGCTCGCTGCAAGTGCCTACGAGTTACTTGCAGCGAGCTTACTATGACTTGCAGCATAGTTGAATTAATTGAACAAAATTGTTTGACTGCGCGAACAGACTCGCAAGCTCGCAGCAAGAGCATTTTGCGATGAGTGGAAAAGAGCAAAGGGTAAGGTAAAATTTCAGTAGTTTGATTTTTTTTTAAATTACGAACACTAAAATCACTCAATGACATATTTTCTTCATGTGTTCCCTGGAGTTGAGTTCAAATAATTTTCTGTCGTTGAATGCTATTCCACGGATGATCGTTTGTAACTTTCTTTCACAAAAAGCATAAGCATCGCCGATACAGCACAAGTGCACACGGTAGCCAACATCATCCATTTTTGTACCTAAATGTGATAGTGGAGGAAGAAGAAATACCGATTGCAGAAAATTGTTGAAGAACGTAATAACACTGGAAGTAATACCCTTAGCAACCGGATATGTTATCTCGACTGCCAGCTCAAAGAAGAATGGTATCGTTCCGTTGACAAAGAATCCACTGATGCCAAACAAAACGTAAACTAAACCTTGGTCGAATCCAATAATTCCAGTGAAAACATAACAAATTAACAAAACAGCAAAAAACGAAGACGCAATAAAAGCAATAAGGAATAATTTTAAATGTCCAGCAAAATGATCAGCAAATCTAAAAAAGAAAATAAGGCAAAATATAAGAGGTTTCAAAGAACAAAAATACCTAACCATTGTTAAGCTGGATTTTCACTTGCGAATTTTTCGCGCGAAGGAATAATTTTCGAATATAAACATGCGCAGACGTTCAACATGTCACATATACACAGCGATGAAATTTACATAAGTTGTTCGTCACGCCGAAAATTTGAGTTCGATTGATTTCTACTTTTTCGGTGCGAAAAAATTCGCTGGCATATCAGAATTCAGTGTTTCTGATTTGTGATTCTTGTAAAACATTCAGTTTTCTAAATGGCGGACGTCGAGGAGTTAGTTTCTCGTGAAAGACTTTCCATACCATCTAACGGCTCTACTCTACAAAAAAACGACTATTTTGACTAAGGAATTTCTTACATGAAATACGAAGCAAACGATGCTAATGGAAACATATTCCTGGTCGTAAATACTAAGCTCTCTTTTATTTGCCGGTTCAGCCGCTTTGTATGAATATATTTTGAAATTCGCGGTTTTATCATTACTAGTGGAAATCAAATCACGAAAATTATCGCTTTGCGCGAAAAAATTCGCAAGTCGAAATCCTGCTGTAGATGAGAAATCTGCGTTTCTAAAAAGCATTATATGAATATGTATGCTTTAAGAACATCAACAAGCTTTTCAGTTGTGACTTTGAAATTGCAAAAATTAAGAGAATGGCCGGAAACGACACCTGCCCATGTTTACTCGTACCATACAAATTGTTTAGATAAATTACTGTTCATTGCTATGGAAAATATTTTCTGCCCAATGAATTAAATCAATATTTTTTCCATAAATGTCGTTACACACGAGTTGGATTAACACTTGAAATTTTTTTAGGGAAGCGCTTCACTCGTTTATAAGAAAAAATTGTCACAACTTCCAAAAGAAGACCATTAAGTTCACGCAAAAATCCACGAGTTAATGTTACTCGATACTTCAGTAACTGATAAGGTACTGACATTTTGACTTTTTGTAAAGCTTCTTTTGAGGAAAATTGCTAAGTAACATGCACTCATCTTTGTAACTAAACGATTGCACAATGCTGCAGCACATTAAAACACAAAATTGCGTTAAACCGCTACCTAAAACGCAACCGTTTGATATCGAAAACATCATGAAGAGAATAATACCAATCACGAATATAACAACAATTCTTTTTTGGCTATTCACATGTTCTGTGGTCGACATAAACGCATATAAAATATTCACCAAATTTAAACATGGCTGAATCGCATTCCTTTTGAAAAGAGGAAAATAATTTTTATGAAGACAGACGATTTTCGAGTGAATAGCATGTTATTAACGGAAAAACTAAAAAGACAACTTGATTGGCTGCTAATAAACATAATATGGCAGACATCAAGTAAACGACAGACATAATTACGTGGAAAATAGCACACCAGAGAAAGCACCACAAGTGACTTCGACAAAGCCAAGCCATTCAGCAAAATGTTCAGTCACCCGTATACCGTAGTCCGAGAGATTTTGATACAGAACGGCACACCAGCCACCAAACACACCAGTACTAGCTCTGTATATTGTTGCAAGAAGAAGAAAGTTATAGTTCTTACCCAAACGTCCGGCACCATCCCTAAAATCAACTCGACCAGTGGCCGCTGAAAGACTGGGAGGATTTGGAGGTTTGGATGGATAATGTACAAGAATGATAATTAGCAAGATTACTTGTATTCCGGCTTCAACGTATAATAACAAATTGATTTGTCCTTGGTATTATTCCTCTTCAGTTCTATTTAGTACGTAGTTGTCACCCTTTTTTAAAGCATTCGACTTTGTAACATCATCGACAAAGGCAGGTCTAATGATAAAATACACAGATGTACCAACGTATCCCGCTACAGTTGATATGGCAGTAGCAGTGGTACGTTGGTGTGGGGGAAACCATGTCGATGACAAAAGAGGAGCTTCTGATCTAAATTGGATAAAAAAAGTCGTGTTCCTATAAGTCCTCCAAAAAAAATTTAAGTAATTGGCCAGGAAATATCTAACATAGCTACGTAGTTAAATGTAGAAGATAATTCAAAGTTCAAATATAAATTCACTATTCGCTGAATCTATGCCAATATTTATATTAAAATTAAAAGTCCAAGCTGTAAATCTTTAGTATACTCTGCAAAAAATGAAATCTGCTTCATTAAAATTTATACAACAGTCAATAGACATAAATCATATCTCATGGACGCAAAAATAGGTGTTAATGGTTTGGATACTTTAAAGCCTTTTTCCTCGTGTTGTTTACGCATGATTTTGGGGATGTAATTTTCTGCTGAGAAATCTCTGCTCAATGATGTTTTGTCTTTCAAAAGCAATGACAAGAATCCTTTCTCGACATTTTAGTTGCCCCACACTATTCCTCATTCAAACTTTATCATTCTCTTGCAAAATTGCAGTCTGAACAGCAGCATACATATCAATATTTAACATTGTAGTTTTTAACGATTTTCCAAATAAATGCAGTGAAACAGACTTTATAAACCACGCTTAAGTGAATCACAATGTGATAATCTATCTCGCATTCCAAACACAACGCTTAACTACGTTAACTCAGAAGGCTATCAGTCGAAATCGGTGAAACCAATCACATTAAAACAAAATTTCAAATGAAACAATTATAAAATAGAAATTGGACTCCCTTATCGGTCCGGCCACCCCTCTTATCGGTCGTGACCATTCCAGACTGTCCACTGATCTGGCCATTGACCAATAAAATGAGCGTTTTTGGCGTTCATAGACTCCATTATCAGTCAAACTAGTAAAGCCACCCCGCTTATCAGTCGTTTATTCCAGGTCAATTAAAATTCAACTGATCTGGTTACCAACAAGATATTCATTGGATTAGTCATTAGTTTTCAATAATAAATAAAACTGGATTTTTATCACAAGTATATGCGATAATAAAGTAAGAATAATTAATGAATTTTAATTACTATGAATAGGTTTTTTTATAATTTCAAACATCAGTAGCGCGTTGGATTTGACATACTCTAGATCCGCCTCTGCCATTAATGGTGATAACCGAAAGGGCACATTGTTTTTGTACGTAATTTAACGTAGATCTTTTATATTTACGAATAATAAATAGATCAAAAATATCCTTTATGCTGCTTTACATAAAGCTGTGTTTTTGTTTTACCCAAAGCAGATGACAAACAAGTGAGCACAAAAGCGCTAATGACAACATCATCCTCGTAATTAAATGTAAAAACTGAAATATAA